AAGTGGGTAAAGACAATCTGTTTAATTAACGATGCTGGGAAAACTGGACAGACACATTAAAAAAAAAAAAAAGAAACTGAATCATCTTCTTATACCATATACAAAATAAAGTCAAAATTGCTTTTAAAGAGTTAAATGTGAGAACCGAAACCACAAAAGTCTTAGAAGAAAAAATAAGTAGTAAACTCTCTGACATTGCTCTTAGTAATTTTTTTCCTGATATATCTTCTCAGGCAAGGAACACAAAAGAAAAAATAAACAAAATGAGTACATCAAACTAAAAAACTTTGTACAGCAAAGGAAACCATCAAGACAAAAAGATAACCTACAGAATGGAGAAGATATTTGTCAATGATACATCAGATAAGAGGTTAATACCCCAAATTTATAAGGTATTCATACAATTTAAAAAAAAATTCAATTTAAAAAAATGGACAGAAGATTTGAATAGGCATTTCTCCAAAGAAGACGTACAGATGGCCAATAGATATATAAAAAGATACTCAATGTCACTAACCATGAGAGAAATGCAAATTAAAACCACAATGAGATATCACCTCACACCTGTCAGACTGATTATTATTAATTAATCAAAAAATAACAAATATTGGCAAGAATGTGGAGAAAAGTGAACACTCATACACTGTTGGTGGGACTGCAGATTGGTACAGCCACAATGGAAAACAGTTTGGCAGTTCCTCAAAAAATTAAAAATAAAACTACCTTATGACCCAGCAATTCCACTTCTGGATATTTATCTGAAAAACAAAACAAAATTTGAAAAGATATTAACAACACTATATTCACTGTAGCACTATTTACCATAGCCAAAATATGGAAGCATCCTCAGTGCCCATCAATAGATGACTGAGTAAAGAAGAGGTGGTACATAGAACCAATGAAATATTACACGGCCAAAAAAATGAAATCTTACCATTTGCAATGACATAAATGGACCTAGAGTGAAATAAATTGGACAGAGAAGACAAATACCATATTTCACTTATATGCAGAATCTAAGAAACAAAGTAAACTAACAAACAAAACAGAAACAGATGCATAGATATAGAGAATTAACTGGTGATTGACAGATGGGAGGGAAGTTGGGAAGCTGAGTGAAAAAGGGGAAGGGATTAAGAAGTACAGATTGGTAGTTACAAAATAGGGATATGAAGTGCAGCATAGGGAATATAGTAAATAATATTGTAATAACTATGTGTAGTGCCAGGTGGGTACTAAATTAAGTGGGGGCATCAGTTCAAAAATTATGTAAATTTCTAACTGCTATGCTGTACACCTGAAACTAATATAAAATAATTTTGAATGTCAACTCTAATTGAAAAATAAACATTAAAAAAGAATAGTAATAAGATTGGTGTGAGGAGAGAAATAACTTTCAAATCCATTCCTTTATTGTCTGATTGAAAACGCAAACCACTTACTAAAAAATATTTTTATTTAAGGTGTGTTTGTTTAGAAGAGCAAGGTAGGTACAAACAATTCAAAGAATAAATTTTCATTGTTTGTGATAATGCTTTACAAGTTATAAGAGAACATTTTCATTGTAATATTAAAAAATAACTACTTTATGATACATCTATATAACAGAATTTCATGTAGTAAATAAAAATTATATTCAAAAATAATATTTAATTATATAGAAAATTATCCTCAGCTAATTGTTATGTGGAAAAGGATAGAAAACTACAAACATAATATTCTATATTTTTGTGAAAATCAAAGTATCTATGAATTTGCGTGTGTACACACTTATCCCTTAAGAAGAAACACCAAAAGATAATTATCTCTGGGCTAGAATATTTATTCTCATCTTTCAATTGTAAATATTCTCCAAATGTGCTAAAATTCTTATTTTCTTCTTTTCCCCTGAATTTTCCAATGCTAAAGCGAACTACTTTTATGAAATATGAAATAAGAAAATAGTTCGAAGCACCCATATATAAAATGATGAAAACAGAACTTTCTCCTCTACTTATAGAAAATTGTCATTATATTTTATCATATCCTATGCTCTCAGATTACTTCACTCATGTAGTTGCACAGTCACATATCACTATGGACAGAGTGTAGGCAAGAGTGTAAAACTATTCATTTACCCAAAAAGGAGAACAATGTAAGAGTTTGTGTAGATGGAGCACTAGAAACACATTAGATTTAGCTCTTCACATGAAAATAAAAGAACTGCAACAGAACTCAAGAAATTTGTCTAATAGTACCCATCGATTAGATGATCTCTGAAATTAATTAAAAATCTGTGATTTTATGACTCTACAAATAATAACTTATAAGAGCTATAAGATATTAAGCATTCCAGTGTATCAATCCCTTTTTTTATGCCAAGCTCTATATCAATAGCATTATACACACGATATTCTATGATGTTCATAAGTTTTCCTACAGACATCATCATACCCAGTTTAAAGGTACTAAAGATACTAAAGCTATCAAGATTACATAATTTTTTTTTTCATTTTCACTCTTGGTAGATTGCTGTGTAAATTTTTAAATTTATATCTATCTTTTCACAAAATCTGGGTCCTATTACTTTCCTATTTCAGGACTGACTTTTCAGAATTCTAGAGCTAGACTGAGATAAGCAAAATCTGCCATCAGAATGGTTATAGAAAAGGAAACAGTCAAGTTGTAGTGACCTGGGTTGTACTCGGAATGAGGTGGAATAATGGTGCTCATCATTCCTGGTAGTCTCAGGTAACAGAGGATCCCAGTTGGTGGGCAGAAAGGGCAAGTCAGTCATTTTAACATGGATATTGATGAAACCTCCAACATCCATTACACAAATGACCCAAATCACCATGTGCTGGGGCGGAAAGCTCATTTGTCACCCAGAAGTATATCAAAGTGTTTATGTGGGTGTGTGCATTCATGTGAGTGTGTGATATACAAAGAATGAAACAGTGGCGTAGTTAATTTTTTGCTATTTAAAAACTATTGTCTAGTTAATATTTCAACTTTTCTCAACTGATAACATTGTCTATAAAATATTTTAAACTTATTATATTATCTACCTTGTGTCAGCTTCATCCTGTTCACCCTCCTCCTGATGGCTGAAGATGTTCATGATTTTGTTTTTCCATTAACTAACTTGTTAGGTGACTTTTAACAAGTTATTTAGACTTTCTGAGTCTTCATTTTTACTTCCAAAAATGTGATAATAATACTTATATGGATTTTAAAGCATAACATTTAAAGTCAGAAAAAAGAAGCTATCACGTTATTAAGAAAAATTCTAAGAGCAAATAGCTGGAATTTTTCAAACAAAATCTCAGATTATATAATTTGACACACTTGAAGTTATACTTAGAATTGTTTTCACTATTTTCTTACAATGAGCCACTTAATTATATGTGATTGGTTTATTTGTCATTTTATCCCGATTTTTTCTAAGTTTATTTCCTCTACTATAAAACTGAGGTCTTTCTATAATTTTCCTAAAATAATAATGATAGTATGTTATGTATCACCCTACTATTCTATGGGTTACTTTCAAGAAGATTATCATTTTTTTAACAGTTCTATAACAAAGATGAGGCATTTACTTTAATATTAATTTTTTAGGTAAATTTATTCATGATCATGAAGACTAAATATCTTTTCACAGGTTTCATAACTAAAAATGATATATTTAAATTATTTTAAAAAGGAAAATTCTTACAATTCTAAATTCAAATTCTAAAATATCTGATTCTTATAAACATGAGGAAATGAAAATTTTGGAAAAAAATTCTGTAAGTACATCTGATACAATCAAAAAATGAAATAGACAAAGAATTGAGTAGATCTCTCATTTGCCAGAAGCATGCATCAGAAACTGTGACAAGAAAAGATATATCAAACTAGGCCTTTGGGAGATTACAGCATTGCATAACTTTTAGTTTTGAAAAAATATATATATTGCTAGCATGCAATGACAGAGTGAAAAATTATTGCTTTGTGATATTTTTAGTATACTTTTTTTTCATGTTCTTTTATGTTTTTTGGCATTAAGCTATAGAATACTGTCCCTAAGTAAGATTTTGGATGAATTCCTAAATTAAATCCACAAAATAAGAAACAGGCAGGACATTGCTGATTGGTTCCAGACCTGAATAGTATAAAATATGTGCCCTTAACATAAGAAGTAAACTGAAAATGATATTTATCATTTGTATCAGAGTGTAAATGAAGCATTTTTCACATTTTAGAAACTAATGTAAGTTACCCTCCTGGCCAAAAGTTAAGTTAGTCCAAGTAAATCAATATAGATTTAGAGTAATGGGCAAAAGGATTATATTCCTCTGAGTCTGCTCATTTGCATTTTCCTGGAATTATTTATTGTTTATGATTTATGAGACCTTCAGATGAACATGATAGTTGGCTGAGAGAATCGAACTTAATCGTCACAGCTACAGAAGTAAAGAGCTTTGCAAGAGAAATGTTCTCACTGTACATGCTTCACTTGCAGTAAGACTCGATTCTCGGTTGACAGCTATGGCATTCGTGCTAGTTAAACACATCCCTCTCCCATTCCATAGGGAATGCACTGGGCTGTCCTTGCTCACCACGTCCACCTGCACTTCGTTAGAGAGCAGAGCTTTCACATGCCACACCACCAGATCCCTACAATGACATAACTCCATTCAGAGACTGGCGTGACTGGGCTGGGTTTCCCCACCCCCCC